AAAATGATACGTTGTCAACCTGTATTCCTTAAACTATTCGATTCTGTTGAAAGAAGTCTAGGTATTTAATGTGAAGATCAACTTATCTCTTTACATAATGCAAAATTTGTTTTCTTCAGTACAAAACATGATTATACCATTGTGTGACCTGTATGGTAATAAAAACACCAGTAGCAAAACAATTTACTATATTCTTTTACAGCATTTATATTTCATTAAGTCAAAAATAAAATGAAATAAAGTAACTTAATAAATGTAGTTTTATTTGCTCAACACGATATCTGAGAAGATCAAGAAAAATTTTCTTTCTTATTTTTCATTTGCATATCATTTGAATTTAAGGTATACTGTATTAAAAACATTATAATACAACTCTAACAATACGAAATAAGGACATCTAAGAATATGTAAGAACTAGAGTATTGACAGATTCTCTCATAAATACATACTATTTAGAAGTGCTATATGATGTTAACTGTTTGTTTCCACGAAATATGACACTTAACAATACATCATATTTTTACAGCGAATGAGATTGTATGTTTCTACACTATTCTAAATTATTCATTGTGCCAATTTTTTCTTCTCCTAAAGAAAATAAATATAGAGGTTTTGTTTTAACAAAAATAAATTGTAGATTGAGTATGTTTGTTATAAAAGATGTTGTAAATGGTGTAAATCAAAGGAAACAAAATTATTATTCATTTACATAAGAAATATATATTAAATGAAGTTTAAGCATATATATATTGCGTTTCAGAAAGCTTAACTAAGCTTGATTATTTGAATTAATTTTCTGTAGAAATGATGCTTTTTTGTCAGAACGCACGCAGATATACTAAAATCAGTTCGAATCATGTCCTTGAATGAAATAATTCTAATGTTTATTTTTACAATTGTATAATACATTGATTGATTGAAATATATATTTATGAGTATATATTGCTGATAAGAAGACATTTTGTAATATATTTATCTACTTGTGCATACGCAACTATCTTATTCTTTATCAGAACAATATGTTCATTCAGTAGAAGACTGGTTTCTGCAAAGAAAAATACAACTAGATATGGTATCAGATATAAAAACAGTCAATTTATCACTCTTTTATACAATCAACAACGTTTATCAGAAATATATTTAGTTTCGCTTCCATGTTTGTTTCTGTTATTAGACACGTAAATCGTCGGGGCCCAATAACAAAATCGTACTGTATCAATTTCTTAGGAACTTTATCATCAATTTGGGACCCATATCACATTTTGTGTAGTTATATATCCTTCAGTAAGTTTTACACATAAATACTTTTATTACTTTTTATTTACATGAAGTTTATGACTGGACTTAATGGAGAACATGAAAAGAAAAGTATATACAAGTACTTTTCTTGGAAAATATCAAATTAAAACGGACTAATTTAATAAAAATTCCTTCCACACTATATAATTATCTTTCAAATGAAGATTATCTGCGAGTTTGAAAGATGAATTTGTATTTATACCCTTTGAGGCTGAGGGATAACCTTCCATGGTGTCACTGGTCTAGTCTTTGTTAACGTTTCATTTCAAGAAATGATTGGTTTTGACGGGCTTTGAGGGTTGTATAAGAAATGAAGAACGTTCTTTTCATAAGCCATTCTGATCGTTGATTAAAAGTTTCTTTTGTCTGCATAACTTCGACAAACGTCTTGATCTCTTTGATATCTTCATTGTCTGCCTGCCACAAGCACTTAGTGTTTAAGCTAGTAAGAATTATTGTATTGTAAGGTTACTCTGGATATGAAAGATATAAATCCTAACATTAAAAAAGATCTTTAATCTAATGTGTTCTCATTAACATATATCATTTTTAAGATAAAACAAAACAGAGGTATGTTTATATCTATCGAAAATATAAAATGTTTTAGCCTTTGCAGTAGTGTCATTGTGTACACACATGTTATAAATGCTGACATTGTCAAGCACCCCTAATGTTTATTTAGTTGGATAACGTATCAAACAACAGACACATGCATAGTGATGTGATAAGGAATATAAAGTTAAAAAAGAAAAATGAAATGTTTGAATAGTTATGTACGTTCAAATGTTAATAGTGTGCGTCTATAAATACATAGCAGCATGAATTCCAGTCCACAAGTTTCTATTCTGTCAATATTTGTTTTCAATTTTCTCTTCAATGGCGAATCGTTTGTCAAGATTGAAAGATGAACAAGGCGTTTTAGGAATTTACTGTATAAAAAGCGTTTAGCTAACTGTAACAAATCTATATTTATTTCACATATTTGCCTTTTCTTAACATTTCTTTCCAGATGTGATTGCCTTTGACGGATTCTAGGAATAGTTTCGGAGAGAATGGAAGTGTCTTTCATAAGGTTGTCAGGTCGTTGATTAAAGTATTGTATTGAATGCCTTGCCTCGACAAATGAAATTGTTTGTCAAAAGCCACGCCAAGATATCATTGATTATAGCATTGCCTGTTTCCAAAAGACTTTTAGTTTTTTTCAACGGCTGTATAACAAACTTTAAGTCCCAATAAGCCCCCGAGTGGCATCAGTTTTATTTCTCAAAATCATCTTGCATATTTCAAAAGTTATAGTTTTATTTACTTGTACATTATTGAAAATTAAACAAATTTCTTGAACGAACGTTTGCAACACTATCTTTCATTTTAAATATATATCTGTATCTGGAGTGTTTTTCTTTTCTTTTTTTTTTTGGCTCTTAAAGGTAATCTTCAAGGGCAGATTCAGCTATTGCAGAATGACAGAAATGTTATTCACATTATGAATTTTAAGAGAATTGTAATAGTCTTTTGTTTGTTTCGTTAAACCATGATAGTAAAATGATTTTTATTTGTTATAGCCACATTATTTCAGTTTGATTGTGAAGAAATGTAGGATACATTCTCAAAGCGCAAGGAGTTAAGTTTTTTGTTAAAACAAAAACCGGCTAGCCACTGATAAAGTTACAATCCATACGACTAATGTTCTTTAAATTACTAGTCTTATTAGAATTATTTTAAGGTTTGCATAATGACTGAAAATGAAGTAAAAAATGACATTTTGTAATGAATGCAAATAGATGAATTATACCAAAGAAACATACATATTCTTGATATCTTATTCAAGCCAAGGACAATTTTCATTTGAGTCAAACACATACATTTTAGTATCCTTTGTGGTTCAGTCAGAAAACTATTTTACCAATACTAGAAAACAACAAAACAAGTGTAATGCACCCGATAAACATGAAACAAACAGATAAACTCGTACATATAGCCTCCATATAAAAACAAAAGTGCATACATTTTTACCGAGTATGATATGTTGTACAATTGGCAAGAAATGTCAATATCTTAGTATCTTTTTGGCGTAAGACTTATGTACAGACTCAATCAAACCGAGTCTGCAATTCTTATGTTATTTTGTTGTGATTAATGCTTCCGAGGGATAACTTTGTTTCCAGAATTTACCTGTACGTATTAAGTATGTGACAGAAATTATGCTAAATTACGAATAGTTATTTACTTCTTTACATTCAATGTTCTTTAAATAGTTATTTAATCTTACTTATACTATGGTTACCGTATTTCAAAAAAAAAAAAAAACATACTAAATAGGTGTTTTTACAATCTCTATGTTTAGTAAAAAAAAATTTTCATTTACCCTTGTTTTATACTAAAAATGATTCATTTTGCAATTTCAATTGTTGTAAAATCCCTATCCGCATATTATTGATGATCAGAGAAAAAAAAACCCGACTCGGGCCATTGAATAATGGCCATATTATTTCTACGATTCCGTAGGAAACCTTCCCAAATTCTTAATAAAAAAATGCAATAATGACTAGATGTGATGTTTGTTTGTGAAAAATGGTTACTGTTTAAGAAATTTCATTTACTTAAAGTTATTCTTTGCTCAGATGTAATGTCAGAAAGAATTGATAATTTCTACACAGTCTTATAATTATAAAATAAACATGCTTTGACTTCCCACAAAGTAAATATGTTATGTTTAAACTTCTCTTATTGTTGGTAAGACATGATATTATAGTTTCATTAAAACACTGGCATTCTTTTAAAGAAAAGATCAAATTTCCTTGACATGCAATATGCAGCTTCCCATGCATAAAATAAGCATTATGTTCTTCAAATTAGATGTACTCAGTAACAATTTTATAGAGTTCAATAAATTTACGTGGCTTAATATTTTACTTAAGGGTGATCAAAGAATATCTTTTTAAACATCCGATGCAGAAGTAAGCTGGCATTGATAAATTCCTAGAAGATGATTTAGCTTTTAATACGGATACAAACGATTTTGACGCGTATGAAGGTAAATAAAGTCTGTTCATTAGTTTAGATACGAAAATATATTTTAATTAAGGTTCGATCGTTGTACCTGGTGTATTAATAAAGCTGTACCGGAAAAGTGTGAAATATAAAAAAGCTAAATTATTGAATGTCGTCTGCTGTTACGTGACACTGTAATTTATCGTCTGAGGAAGTGTCTGTCAATGTCAAATAAACGTTTGATGTTGCAAGCGTTCAACTTAAATTTCGGTTTTCAAACAGATGTTTTAAATCAAGTTAGAAATTTATCGTAACATTGGCTATTATATGTGCTTGTGTAGTTTATTTCAAAGATCAAAAAGGCGACCGACGAAGAAAAGAAACAGAAGATTAAGGAATAGATGACTGGCCGACTAAAGATAACTATAATAATTGTAAAACACTTAACATATGCATATGCTAACAAGTCGTTGCAAATACATAAACTGTATATCGTTGTCTACTAAACAAATATAACACTTAAGTGATAAAAGACAATTCTATTATTTTTTTCACATTTTATTTTCTGCTTACACAACAATATGACAAACCGTTTTGATTATTCGGATAGCTATACTAATGTTATAATGCAACACATTGCATTGATGAATATGTTTTATAACTTTATTTTCGCCTGAACAAATTTAAACGGTTTAATACATTTAATATGTTAATAAATAAATGTCAATTGAAAGATTGAGATTAAAGCATCAGTTACAATATAAAAAATGAAGGATCCCCCGAGTATAAAACACTTTATTTTTTTTCTTATACGATGATTAAATAAAATATTAATTAAAATGATTGTGTTTCCGTTGCACTCTGGGAAATTCTAATGTCAATGTCTTTTTTTTAAATTTAACAATCATTTGACCTTTACATGCTTTTATCTTATACCTCACATCTTTCTCGTCGTCTAATTCATATTCTGAACACATTTCTTTTGCCGAAAACAAAGCTTTCAAATTGGTCACTATGAAAAATTTAGAAATTCCGTTGAAAAAAAAAAACATTACCAACATTATTAAAATAACCAATTGAATATGATCCATGAAATATTTGTTTGGCCTTAAAACATCTTATGACACGGATTGAAAAGTCTAATAAACAAATTAAAATTATGGTCAGATACGTTCATGATTGATGTTCATGGAATTCTGAAATGTTTAAGAGAGCCTGTCCAATAACAGTATTGGTACATAAAAGCAGCCGCCAATGTTCTATAATCAGCCTAATGTTCTATCATGACAAGTTAAACAGTTAAACCTTAAACACTTTTTTTGGGTTTGAAGCATATGACGACTGAGTGAATTAATTGTGAAAACAGGCCATATTGAAAATAAACAAATAATGGATACCTCTTTTGTTGCGACAGATAACGGAGAGGAAATTAACAAACCACCATTAAGGCTGATAATTTGTACTAAGTTTCTTTTCAGCGAACATATTTGATCACCATGTTTGCATTATTCGTTTGGCGGTATATGATATAAAACAGTAAACGAATTAAAAATATAATGTGTTTATTTTTCTAGCTATCCGGGCAATATATAACATATCTCATCTCTTCAAATTAATAGATATTTTTAAGAGACTTGGGAAATGTAATATCTACCTTCTTACCTTATTATTATATAATAATAATGTGTTTTTACAACAATAACAAAACTATATACATAATATTTATAACTGGTCCTATTGACTTAAAAGTCTCCAAGCTCACATTGTAATTCATTTTGCAACTCATGGTTGCAACATATTAAAACAGTTTATTTACAAATTCTCAAGTTTCAAGTTCTACTCCCGCCTAAGAAGTCTTTAATTAATAGATATATAAGAATTCGTGTATGTCAAAATGAAAACCTGTTATTGTTTAGTACTTTCATGAAATTGAAATACATAAACACACATCGTGTAGAGAAAAAAAACACAATTGATAGTAAAATTGTAGAAAATGTTTTAATGGTCTATACATTTATTTCTACATCTAATGAAATATTTTGGTAACGAATACAAGTTAAATGATTCATGACATGATTGCATTCAAGCTGACCTTCTATCAACCTCTTGTATGAAAACAACGAATAACGTTTTTGAAAATGTGCCTGAGCATAGAAAATGAAATTATTTTTGATAATTAATATCTTACCAATGTTAAGGCTTTATGGTCCTTTGAACTAGTGAAAAGGGTAGCTTGGATAAATGTTTGAGGAGCAAAATGAATTCCACTCTGTAACAAAAAATAATGATAACAATGGCTTCTGATCTTTATAGGAGAACAAAATTGGTTTTCAAAATAAATTGAAATATTTATGAATGAAAATATTTCCAACCGAAACAAGTGGTGTCATAAAACTACCTGTGTTTTCTAACGTTGTTTGCTGAGAAATAACATAATATTAATATATTATCCACTTATATTGATTTTATTACTATTATGAAAACAAGCATTGAACAATCAAAGATCGATGCTTTTGTTTTGTTTTTGTTTTTGGTATTCTTGAAGTGAATTTGCTTTTTGAGATAAGCTGTAAAGATACATGATTAAATAAGGATATTTATCTAAACCTGAAATATATAAATAAATTAAACTATCTAATATTTAACCAGCATTCAAAATTTTCTACAAACATAAAGTGGCTAAAAAATGTAAAAGGAATAATTTATCTTCAGAGGTTTTTTCTAAAAATAAACATTTCAAAGCATAAGAGTTCGAAACGTACTTGTATAGTTTTTTTTAAAATCAATTGCCCGAGGAAAATAAATGTAAATACCACAGTGAATATATATATAATAATAAAATTGTTTTTTAATAATAAAAGAAGTATACGATATGAACTTCTCTTTCAATGACAAAATAGAACACACATATATACCATTAGAACTAGAAAAAAAATACTAATACAAAAAAATATTTTAAAGTAAGAAGTTTTTTGTATTTAAGAATTCGCTAGAATTTCTTCAAGTACTTTTTGCAATTTTTCCGCTAATTTCATGACTGAATCTGCGGCTTGGGAAATATTACCCCTTTTCAAATCAACAAGGTCTTTAACAAAAAAGATTACATCAAGTGGCAAAGCAATAAATGCAACTGTATGGCCTGCAAATCTTGCTGTCCGTCCAAGTTTTAAAAGGCTGGCTGCGGCTTTCTCGGAAACTGTAAGTTTTCGAGCAATAGATGCCACTACATTAAGACCACCTGGAATGCTTTTGCTAATTTTAAAAGCACGCTCCAGTTTTTCCCTCGCCGTTTCTTCGTTAGCAATTTGGATAGCCCTTTTTAGTGACTTAAAGGATTCCCTATCTTTATCAAGAGCCTCTTGAACACTTCTCAAATATCCTTTCTCGATGAAATAATTTGTAACTGAAGAGCCTATGGAAGTAACACCTCCGGCTATTGCGATTCCTGTAAGAGCTATCCCAGGTACAACGCTTGCACCTAAAGTGATTGGTGCTACGAAGTAACAAATAGCTGCACCAATTCCAGCTGCAACACTTGTTCCTCCGCCAACAGCACTCGCAATTTTTGCGTTCTTTGCATGATTTTTCATTTCCTCACCGAGCTTTCTTAACTCCCTTATTGTTTTCCGTCTGTATAACGCCCATATTGCCAAGGGGTCAGTCTGAAATAATATAATTATTATATTCCGATATGATACAGGTATCTTATATAATCTATAGCTTTATGACGTATTTAATGATATACATGTTAATGCTGATAACATATGAAGGAAATAAGTTAATTTTATTATCTGTATAAGACGTGATAGCCGTTGCCTAACAATACACATTTAATTGATTTTTCTAGTTCAAACTAGAATGTATTGTATATAAAATTATATTATTTTGTTCTTATTAATTTTCAAAAGAAAGTACATATACTAGCAGTATATAGACAGCTATAATGTTTTGTAAAAGGTTAATTTCAAAACGGCCTTTATTTTTTTCTTTTTACAAAGTCTAGGAATTAAGCAAAATCGTTCATTTGTTCACTTTAATACTATTTCAATACCTAATAAAATACTTAAGGCATTGCAAGCCTAACGGGCACTTTTGAAACTGTATAATTGACAACATAGGTCAGATATATATACCTTAAAAGACACCTGTATGCAATATTTAAACAAACATTACCGTACGGAAATCGAGTTATAGCCATTTTTCTGAACAGAAGTTGGGATGTTAGAATGGCCCTTTTCAGAAATAAAAAACCTTTAATAATTTACCATATTTTCCTGATGAAAACTATTGTGAAATTTTTATTTGGTAAGAAAATGATAGTTTCTACCCAAAATGTATGAAATATGTATAAAAATGTTACCTATCTCACCCGTTTTTAAGACTTGTTTGAAGATTTATTTATCTATTAAGACAGCCTAATTTAAAGAATCCCTTAAATTTATCCAAATGAGTGCTTGTTTGCAAAGTTTCCCTTAATCAGTATATTGGTTAATCTTGTAAAATATCAAACCGTCTAGTTTTGATTGTATTATACTTTGAAATATCAGGTACTTTATTTGAAATTAGATGTATCATTATTTAGCCAATAAATTCCTATATCAATTGAAAAATTAAAATTAAAAAAAAAATCTTCCCAAAAGGGATACGAGAAATACATAAATAATGTTAAAAGAAAAAAAAATGAAAAAAATTGACCCCCCCCGGGATTTTAACCCCCCCCCCTTAAGTTTCAATGTAGTTAACAGTAGTTCTAGCCTATTTGAATACTAGAGTTAGGTAACGCTTAAGGATGGTCATACCTTAAGCAAATCGGAATTATGAAAGTAGATTCAGTATAAATCATTGTCAGCTAAACTATGTCATAATAACCTTACAGTTTGTTCTGTTGGGTTAGTTGTATACAGTGATACATTGTTTGATGTGAAGTGTAAATATCATATTTCACTGGAAAGTTAATTTTAAACCTGTTGCTACCCGCACAGTGTATAAACTACGTGTAAAAGTCAAATCTTTAAGATAGCAAATATTTTATGATCAAGCTAGTGTTTGGTTAAATATACATCAGTCTAGGGAAGGCGTTTTATTGCTGTTAAGAGGGGAGTTTAGTTGAATTGATTATGTTTGTTGAATTTAATTGTGGTGATGTTAATTGATCAGAGTTCATTGGTTGCATTTAGCTGTTGTTGTCGTTGCATAATATTTGGTTGACGAGTTATATTTGGTTAATAAGTTATATTTGGTTCATATTGGTTGAGTTATATTGAGAGATTTTGACTAGTCAGGCTCCCAATGATGATGATTTGGTGTTGAAGATATCTGTAAATATTGGTTGCTTTGGTTCTTGTTGTATGATGCTGATTAGATTGTATGCAGTAAGTACTTTTGGTTGAATGTTTATGGTTTATACTGTATCTAAGTTGTAAAAATTTTCATTATCTGTGCTTTATTTGGTGGCGATTTAATAGTTTTGTTTGTTCATTAGTTGTTTGAAACTTGCTTCTCATATATTAAGTATTGTTTTGTATACAAGGCGTATATGTGAAAAAGTTCTTTGTTTTGGGTGTACATAATGATATAGTTTGTCGTAGTAATGCCTTTAAGGATTTAAGATAGAATAGATACCTAAAAAAACGTTAACTAAACATTTACTTGCTAGTTATCCAACTGAGAATATTTCATTTATAAGTTATGCGGTGCTACTCTGCCTCCATGTGGATATTGGTTAAAGTTTTATTACTCAGTCCTTCATGAGATTATCTAATTATCAAAGTCAGTCATTCTCGTGACAAACTATTATAGTCTTCTATGAAAAAGAACCCTTTTTTAACAGACGCTGTCAAATCATATTCCTATGTGTCAATGTACTACCAATTCGTTTTGCTAATAAATAAGAAAACGCATTCTTTTTCTTACCAATTTAAACAATAGTTTCTTCAAGATAAGTATAATAAGACGGCCCGCTATAAAATTGTTTTTACTTTTGTAAGTATAAGACGTGAGCAACATATTCAATTATAGTTCTTATACTAGTATCATGAAGCTTAAATCTTAAATAATTTGCTTTTCATTCCTTATATTTGAATATAGTTATCGTAAGAAATAGTCAAGCTTAAAATCTACAAAAATATTTTACACATACAAAATGTTATATAATTGTTGACACATGTTTATAATACGACTTACCATTGCTTAATAAAATGCATAACAATGAAACACTTCCTGATGTTTTGTTTGATTATAAATTCAAATCCTTGTCGAAAAAGAAGAAAATTAGATAAAAAACTTTTTTTTTTCAAATTTACTTCCGCGAAAGATTTCTTAAATTAATCCGTTTAGTGTACTACATATGTACAGTTGATATCAAATGCCTTCAAATTTAAACCAGATAAATGTAGTCTTTAGTAGCTGTTAACATAACATTTGTCTTTTCGAAAGGGAAACCTAAATCATGTTCTCGTTTACATGATTAAGGATAGGAAATATACGGGTATATACATATTCAACTGCATATTTGGTAAGCCATATAAAAGTTATCTATAAATTATAAAATAAAATATATATCCTCTTTTAGCTGGAAAATATGATGTGTTATGTACTGAAAAAATTAATGTTGCCTGAGGCGATATTATTTATTTTCAGTACATAGCTCATCATATTCACCAGCTAACAAAGCCGTAATCTGTTTAATATTTACTTTTCTTGTTAATGTTTTGGACAAAACAGCACTAGCTCCAAATGGTATTGCATCAATATATGTTGTAATTTATCTGCCAATATCATAATTTTACCAGCAATTTGTGAAATATTTATGTTAGTCAACTTTATATCATCTTCGACAAAAAGGATTTATTCAACAGTACCAGAACGTGTGTGACTACATGACCAGCAAACTTTTGCAGTCCGGCAGGGTTTCGTGTGAAAGGCCGATCCTTTTTATACAGTACGTTTTTACGCAATTAACGCTGCAAATAACGCCTATTGCAAGGGTGAACTGATTTCTGAAATTTTGTCAAAGCCTTCAACAACCACCCATTTTTATTGCTTCCTGGACTCTGTTCAATGATGTTCTACTTTATTTAAATCATCCGGTCGTCCTTTTAGGTATTTTAGGATTTCTTTACCAATTATCTAATACAAGGTCGTATCGTTATTTTAAAAATGCAATCGTCTGTTTTTCTTATTTTTTTTCTGTTTTCTTTTTACTATTTAACTTGTAGGTCATTAAACAGGGCGTGGTCACATTCAGATCGGATGTAGAAATTCACATTGGAAGAAAGACCCCTTCAAGGGTGTGGTCCCATTCATCCTTAATCACATCCTCACCCTATGTATGTTCTGACGTCAGTTATTTACTGAGGTTGATTTCAGCTCTGAACAAAAAATATCAAATATCAAACAAATGGCGCCAAAAAAAAAAAATGGTTTTATTTAGTTGTACCCATTATTTCTTGTAAGGGTTTATGTGTGGATTATACTCGACGTTTCATGTAATGGCACAACGTGTAACGTTCAAATGTCCTTGATAACCACTTTATGGACACATTTGTTAATGCTCCTATATTCAAACAATATAGTTTTTATGTATAAATACATCAGTGCAAAGGCTACTGACGATAGCATGCAATTATCACTACCGTTTCTGGCCAGATTCAGTCAGACCGATCCTGCAACATATGTTTTTGGCATTCTTTATGAATTCCACTTCTCTCTTTTTCATCATCACATCAGTGTTGTTTGCACGGGTAGAGACAATTAAAATACATTTGATCAGAGATACTACATTCCCAATCTTTAGCACGACAAAACTATTGTGTTTCTAGTTCTTTAATTCATTCAACGTGATCTTTTTCATGCTAGTTTGTAAATGTTTTCGTATGTGAATACTGTTCAGTCTAGCGGTCCGGGGCTTTTACAACCTTACAATATATCCTTAAGTGTTTCATATGTAAAATACTGTAAAACCTAATTAATGTCTTTTGAATGGTATTTCTTGTTTTCAATGTATTTGATTATAACATCGAAATGTAGTTGACCAAATTGTTTAGCCAGACACGTGTATGTTGCAGATCAACATTTGGTGAAGATGTTTGCAATACATATATACATAAAGAAAAAGACGAAGGCATCTGGCGGAAACGTCTGCAATAAAGAATAACTGAGTGTTCGTGTTTGTATGGCTTGAATGTTTATTTCATATAAACATATAGGCAGAACTATGTTACATAAAACATAACTTCAACCTTGCATAAGACTATGAAAAAAATATTTTAAGCGAAAACACTGGATTTTTTTGTACCGAGCTCCTATTCGAGTTGTCTGCCCTAAAATAAAATAAGGAGATGCTTATTTAGAGCAGAACATTCTTAAATGAGGTTGAAAATGTCTCATTTATTCTGCTCTATGTGTAGAGGACTAACATTTAAGTAATTGTGCAAAATCACAAAACGTGGTTTAGAGATTTTTTAACCACATTAACCTGCATATTTGCATAACCATGACATACTTTTGCATCAGCTGAATGGAATATTGGATGGACCTCACGAAATTGTGTAATTTGAAACAGGAAATCAATAGGCAGGATACCACTAGCAAAAATTAAAGTTTGCTTTCGTTAAAAAAATAATTAAAAAAGAAGACTAAGGCTAAATCTGAAAATATCGGGTGGAATTGTAAGGAAAACAGGTTGAAAATTAGGAGCAAATGTGTTTTATATATATACACAAGATTCGAAATTAGTTATCATCATAATAAAAAAATCAATGTTCAATGGTCAAAGAACGCAGTACTAAAACGATGTGCAATACGGCCACACACACACACACAAAAACAGCAAGAAAGATAAAAGCTGCATTCCTCGTGGCAACGCACATAGATTTGACAATATACATTTAATATTTTAGGACTTAATAACTATATAATGTTGAGTAACGTCAAACGATTAACCCCTCCATTTTAATATAAAGATATATCATTGTAAAATTTTTTTTATATGTGATCTTAATATGTAAATAATAATATAACTTGTTCGTTATGGTATCACTTTATCTTAACTAAGGTTATAAAGCAACCATATATCTGTCAAAACTTTGGTACTTATTTCATAACTTAGTCTCTTATCTTTTTTACTTGTTGATACTAAATACATGTACCCAACTTTTGTCTTACCATCGACAATTGTATATTTATCAAGATATGCTATGTTTTTTTTTGTTTCTTTGAATCATCTAAATGGTAAGCATTTTTTTTTATTTGTGAACGTATTTAATAATAGTAGTTCCTCGATGTTTACAGCATCTTCTTCCGTTTCCAAACAAGGCATCCCTTTTTGGTATAAGTAGACTGTATTATAAAGTTATAATATGAAAGAAGCAGTATAAAATTAGTTAAATTGTCAATTTCTGTGCTATATGCGAAGGAAATTTCACTTTTAAATATATTTATTATGTTACATGAAATTACAAAAATGTGAGAGACTTTAATCATTAGCTAAACATGACGAGACAGATCCCTTAAATGGTCACCATACCGTACATTTTATATGACTTTTTAAATTATATTTAATGTAATAGTCATGGAACATTGTTGGTACTTCTAAATTGTATCCAGCGCAATTAAAATGGCCTTCGTGTAGATTTATCATGCCTGCGCGCCCTTCAAAAACATTTTCGTCATTTTACATTTTACATTCTCGGACCCTCATCTTTGCATATTCTATACATCTGCTGCCTAGTATACAAGGAAAATTTCCAAAATGCCTGTATGAAAGAGATTTTTCCCTTAAAGCAAATAGTTTATGTATAAGAAATAAATGATTACTAAACCGTTAATCCTTATTAATGAAGCAGTATAATATTTTGTTCTGGAACATTTGTTTACGTACAATATTCATTTTGTTTTAAATCAGATACATTTTTATTCTACACATTTTCCTTTAAACGGCCATAAGATTATAGAAACGACATAGTTTAACGTTTCATCAGTTTTATTTTGATAGGTCTTTAGATATAATTCTTCATCATTCAATGTGTCACAATTTGTCAAAATTTGTAGCCTAACTAGGAAGAGAACCGGCGTTTTTTGAAAAATTATTCCGCATCTCTACTGGCTGAGCAACCGTACTATATCATAAAATACTCGAGTGCTTTATTGAAATCCGTCCTGGAATGAAAACAATGATCATTGACTCGAAACTTTATACAGTCACGGTTCCTCTTTGGTACAGGTTACAAAACAGATTGCCCGATGTGAAACCAGGACCTTCGGAACATACAGCTTGGCAGTCGATTGGGCTACCCGTACCCGGCTATTCAATAATTATCATATATGTTGTTATAATTGCCTGTCAACAAAGTTTTGTGGTTATCAATCAAATTAAACTGAACGATTGCAACACCAAACGTTGATTTGACATTGGCAGACATTTCCGGAGACGATAAATTAGATTGTCACATAACAGCAGGAGGCATTCAATAATTTAGCTTTTTTCATATTTCACGCTTTTCCGGTACAGTTTTAATGATACACCATATACAACGATCGACCGTTAATTAAACTCTCTTTTCGTATCCAAACTTATGAACAGACTTTATGTATCTTCATGCGCGTCAAAATCGTTTGTATCTGTATTAAAAGCTAAATCATCTACTAGGCATTTATCAATGCCAGCTTACTTGTGCATCGGATGTTTTAAATGATATTTTTTGATCACCCTTAAGTAAAATATTTAGCCACATATATGTATTGAAATCTATAAAATTGTTACTGAATATGTCTCATTTGAATAAAAGAATGAATATTCTATGCATGGGAAGCTGCATATTGCAGGTCAAGTAAATTTGATTTTTTCTTTAAAAGAATGCCAGTGTTTCAATGGAACTATCAATTCATGTCAAACCAAAAAGGAAAAAGGTTTAAACAGAACATATTTAATTTGCGAGAAATCAAAGCATATAAAATTTCTTATACAGTAACCATTTTTGCAAACAAAAATCACATACATCTTTTCATAATTGCATTTTTTTAGATTTAGGTTCCTACGGATTATGACATAATATTATTCAATATTATTCAATAGCACGTGTCTCGTTTTACTTTTCTTGTTTTTTTTCCCAATAACAATTAATGGAAGAAAAATATATAATAGATTTATGGTAGTTTAATCAAATTGTAACAACAATTTATACATGTAAATACATTTGCTTGATATTGAAAGAGATCGCAAGCTTATCAAATTGTCTGGCGATATTAAACTATTCTTTCGTTCTTCCACTGACGATACACTGCAGTGTGCACATTTTAGCAGACGACACCAGATAATTGGACATATTATAATTATGTAATTCTATAGCAATACATCTGTTACAGAGATCAACTATTACTTAACGTCTATTTCCCATTTCCCCTGTAAAATAAATGTGGCATTCATCATA